GACAAATCGTCTCTATGACGACCAGGGCGACTTGCACAACCAACAACCACAGCTCTGATTTGCTCCTGAAACCACGCCCCCCTAGTATGCATGTGCATCTGGAGGGGAGGGGCGCAGCAGAACATGGTGAGAGGAGCTAACAGAAAGGGGAGGAGCCTAGCATGATGGGATGAGCTAACAGAAAGGGGATGAGTTAACAGAAAGGGGAGGAGCCTAACATGGCGGGAGGGGTTAACAGAAAGGGGAGGAGCCTAGCATGGCGGGAGGGGTTAACAGAAAGGGGAGGAGCCTAGCATGGCGGGAGGGGTTAACAGAAAGGGGAGGAGCCTAGCATGGCGGGAGGGGTTAACAGAAAGGGGAGGAGTCTAGTCTTGCAGGATCAGAGCAGCAGCTTCTGAATGGTCCCTCTGCAGTGAGGACAGTCAGCTGATCAGAGCAGCACTGAGACGTCTCTCCTCTTTGCTCACTCTCATGTTGATGGTTGGAGTCCTGCCCTCTGCCCCCTGACCTCTGACCTCCCCCCTCGGCCCTATGAAGGGCCACCAAGGAGCCTACTCTTAATGGAGCCTGAATGCAGCGTTTCACAGCTTCATGGATCTGCAGACACCATAAAACCTGCTTTCCTGCCGAGGAGCTTCAGGAGCCGGTGTTACAGCAAAATCTGTGACCCAACATTTTCTGACTGCAGGGGGCGATAGAGCGCAGATACGTCTTGAAGATCAGCGAGAAGAGTATTTAGTAAACTGCGTGAAAACTGATACAGCTGGGATTGTAAACTTCACGGCTCCTTTACTGCCATCGCATTGACGGAGAACATATAATGTATTACTTCGTATTTGACTCTGAAACGTTTTGGTGGACCGTCGCACTGACTGCCTGTGTGCTCTGATCTGGAATAAATCTGGAAAACATCGAATAAACATTACTGACTCTGCAACCTAAATATGATTAAAAATAATTAAATGGACTTTTGGATCATTTTTAATTATTAAAATGTATGTCTTAAACACAGTTCGAAGTAATCAAATTAATTAAAATTGTTATCAGTTTAATAAAATCTTAAGGTTTATTTATAATCATAAATTTTAACTGATGTTTTAATTATGAGAGAAAAGTAAAAGCGTTTAGAGGAAGAGCAGCTGCAGGAAGCCAGACAGGAACTTCCTGTCTCTGTGGCACTGACCCGTCCGAGTCCTGGAAGTTGATGTTCAGCCTCTTGGTGGAGCCCAGCAGCTCTGGAAGACACAAAACATGGATCTGGATCAGCAGGACATCAGAGGGAGCCGGCCACTAATACCTACTCACACGAGTCAGTCAGGTTTATTTCAGGCTGCGTCATCACAAATAATCCAAAACTACTGACAAAAACAAGCAACATTCTCTATTCAAAAACCCTTTCTGCTGAATTATTGAATAAATAGTCATACAAGCTGAAAAACAAAGATATTTATAATTTTGAATCATCAGGTTCTTCATCAGATTGGAGGAAAGCTCATCTTTCCAGAGTTCCTCTGATCATTCATAGAGCGTCTGTGGAAATGTGGACGCTGACTTTAGCATTAGCTGCTACATGTTTGGAATTGAGATGCTATTTTAGTCCAGAGTTTCTCCACCCTGGTCCTCAGGCCTCCTGTCCTCCATGTTTCAGGTGTTTCCCTTCTGCCACCTGGATTGTGTCTCTGGGTGATTAACAGGATCTGCAGCTCCTGATGGTCCTGCAATCATTTGGATCAGCTGTTCTGGAACAGAGGCTCATCTAGAACATGCAGAGCAGGGGGGCTGAGGACCAGGGTGGAGAAACACTGATCTAGGCTAGCATAGCTGTGCTGATAGGCTAACTCCGCTTAGCACAACTTAAACACAACAAAAATCTTTTCCAGCATCCAATCAGATCGCTTAGATTCAGAAATCAATCCCCAGTAGGCCGAGAGAAGCGGCTTCATAGCTGTTAGCAGATGTAGCTAGAGCATCAGATTTACAGGTGGACAAGAAACTGGGTCGTTAGTGGACGTTTCCGTGCGTCAGACTTATGGACGTACCAGAAACAAAATACAATGGTTCCTCCTCAGGACTTCGTGATTAATCACTGAAATGTTTAAATTTACAGTAATTAAATTACTGACCTTCACTGACCTGTCAGTGAAGCTAACAGGTCAGCAAAGCTAACAGGTCAGTGGTGCTAACGTTAGCCCCTCTGTCTGTCTCCTGCAGAGCGGCATAGTTAAAGCACCGGGTCTTCCTGCAGACGTGATCATGCTTCCAACAGTCGGAGTGCTGGAAGAGTCGGTGGGATTCCCACTGGGATCACTCAGCTTGCTGCTTTGATAATGACCTGGATTTTAAGATTCCTGGGAATAAATCAGCAGAAAAACACGAAGCCAGACACGAGGCGCAGCAGAAACGGGGGGGGGAGGGGCTGAGAGCAGATACTGCTGAAATAAATCCATAATTTTACTAAAACCCATCCTGAGCTTCACTCTGAGCTCAGACTCTTCATCAGTCACTCATCTTCATCGCCGTGCAGCTGCTGAGACTCGCTAACAGGAAGTGATTGTGATTGTTTTTGACTTTATATCCAATCAGAGTCGACCTGAAAACATCTGACACAAAGTTCAGCAAGTCAAGAAAATGGAGGACATTGTTGGTTTGAAAGGCTCAACAACAGCGGCCATCTTGAAAAATGGCCATCATCCTGAAATCCAAGTGGCTGATGGGAAATCTGAGAAACATGTAGCCTGAGGGGTTAGCATGCTAATGCTAATGCAAGTACCCATGTTTCTCCAGAGGACTCTGATGCTGCTTCCTGGTTGGACTGAGGCTTGTTCTGTGGGTCAGTGTGAACCAGAACCAGAACCATCACTGAAGCTTGTTGTGTTGGTTGGTGTGTTTTCAGAACCAGAACCTCTGGACCCGGCCCGCGGCTGCAGTTATTTCTGCTGCAGCTCTGCTGCCACAAGAATGCACCGCAGGCAGGAGGAGGTTCTGCTGCCGGCCCGTTTGGGCTGAAACAGAATCTGTAGTAAAACGTCTGCAGCCTAAAATTAGACGGCTCTGATTACAGGTCTGCAGAACTTTTGTTTCTGGGTTGGACCGGAGACAAAGAAGCGGAGCGGTGCGGTTCCGCTGCAGACCCAACACTGTGGGTTTGCTTTTCCAGGGTTCGGGCCGCGGTCCAATCAAAGCACGGTCAGAACCAGCAGCTGAAGGTTCAGACAGCAGGAACAGAACATCATGGCCCGGTCCGGAAAGGAAGTTCTGATCAAACGACTCAACGCCAACGTTGCTTCTGGGTCAGGCGAGTCAGCTTCCTGCTGGACCGGTTCTGGCTAAATGGGTCAGAACTTCCTCTGAAGCAGTGACGGCTGAACTTCACTCTGAGGAGTTCCTGCTGCATCCAAGGTCCAAAAGTCACCTGCACGGCCCGGAGGAAACAGAACCAGAACCAGGGACCGGGACCAGGAACTAGGACCAGAACCAGGGAGCAGAACCAGAACCAGGGACCAGGAACTGGGACCAGGACCAGGACCAGGGACCAGGAACTAGGACCAGGACCAGAACCAGGGACCAGAGACCAGGAGCTAGGACCAGAACCAGGGACCAGGAACTAGGACCAGAATCAGGCCCAGGGACCAGAACCAGGGAGCAGAACCAGAGACCAGGACCAGGAACCAGGACCAGGACCAGGAACTAGGACCAGAATCAGGCTCAGGGACCAGAACCAGGGCCAAGGACCAGGGACCAGGAATTAGGACCAGAACCAGGACCAGGGACCAGAACCAGGGAGCAGAACCAGGCACCAGGACCAGGAACCAGAACCAGGACCAGGGACCAGGACCAGAGACCAGGACCAGGGA